TTGCTTGTATTTCACATTTTATATTTAATCTTAATGTATCAAAGATAAAGTCAGAACCAGGAGTGAAAACTATCTGTACCACAGCCCCTTTTAGTTATTGAGCCAATGGATGAAATGACAAAGTGGAAATACTTTTTCTACATAGGACGACAGGTTACAACCTAGTAACAATGTCATCTGCTGGTGGGCCAAATCAAATGGCTTGGCAGGCCAAATTTGGCCCGTGGGCCCCACTTGGGGCTCCTCTGTTCTAAAACAAAAGTAATGAGCTTAGATCCTATTCAATTGGCAAGAGTGCTCTAATTGTTGCTGTTTTGTAGGGTTTATGTTTCTTTATGGCATATTTAATGTGAAATTCATTCATAAAACTTCGTTTTTATCAAACGGATAACTTTATTAATGTGAGATTCTAGGATTTACACATAAATGTTTTTTTTTGGTAAATACTGTTTTAAATACTTTGCAAAAAATAATTTCATGTTCTACTGAGCCACAGCTATTTGTTATATTATTAAAAGTACTGACTGTGAACAAGAGATGTACAGGATGAACTGGTCAAACTATCTTCAGTCTGACCTTCATCCTCACTTTCCTCCWCCTCATCCATATTGCTTTCGGATTTTAGAATCATTCCTGAACATTACATTTTTGTTACATCACCTGCTTCAACTTCAGTTTGAAAGCTCAAAACACACTCAGATTGTTCCTTTTTAGCAGAAACTTCAAACCTCAAAAGCATTTTCCTCTAGTATTTGACTGTTTCCCTTCCTCAATTTCATCTGTGTTTGTTTTTCTTTGATGAGACATTAGCAAATAGCTTGTTTTGGCATCTTTTCACCTCCCTCATCTCGGGTTTGCTCTGAATTAGGATTTTTTCCAGGACATGCTTGAACTAAATGGCCAACTTCTCTGTAACCACAACACCAAATTGCCCAAAGTTACATAAATAGCATAATCAAAATCTTTCACTCACACATTAAACACTAAGACTTAATTAACGTTTTTGTTCTTTTTATTCAGAATCACAAGGACCTGTCTTTTATGTGAAACAACATGCTCAGTGATGATTTGCAACCCAAGGATAGCTTTCTAATTGGGGGAAAAAATGCCCAGGCCATGACAGTTCTCTCAAGAACAATTCGTCATTGATGAACGGAGGATGGTGACATTTTTTAGCARGAGTAGTCAACAGGGAAACTGAAAAAAATATGAAATTCACAATAATACCCTTTTCAATTAATTTGTTTGCCTTTTCCACACTGTCAACAAAAACAACCACTGCACTGTTCATCCAAGCAGCAGATTTCCATCCATTGTATTAACATACGTTGCATATATGTAAGTATGTATGTATGTACGTACAGTGGTTTGCAAAAGTATTCATACCCCTTGAACTTTTCCATATTTTGTCACATTACAACCACAAACATAAATATA